GGTGGGACATTGCAGTGATGCCATAGTTTTGGGGTCACCCACACTCCTGTAAACAATCCCTCACTTTGCTCTGTAAATAAACCCAATAAAGTCATTGGTTCACCACGCTGGGACTTAGGTGGGATTGTAGCAGAGGACTCAGGTTCGATTCCCAGCACCCACGCAGCAGCTTACAACTGTCTGTAACTCCAGTTCCAGGGCTCCAATGCCTTCTTCTGTCCTCCGTGGGCACTAGGCACACAAGTGGTACCCAGGAATATATGAGGGCAGAATGCTTGTATATATAAAATTAAAATAAATCACAGAACACTGAAAAAAGGTTAATGCGACATAAAGGCAGGAGGCTCAGAGGTGATGCGATGCAGACTGCAACGGGTGTTTCGATGCTCAGCGTTTCATCACTATAACAAATACCCGCGATAACCCCCTGCGGAGATGGCACAGTGGTTAGGGCCGTTTGCTGCTCTTGCAGAGGTCCTGAATTCAGTCCCCGACATTTGCATTGAGCTGAGTGGCTTACAAACAACTGTTAAACTCCAGCCTGAGAGGCTCTGACTCCCTCTTCTGGCCTCTTCAGGCACCCGCCCTGATACGCACATAACATACACACAGATGCCGTATAAGTGCAGATGTCAGTGGAGGCCAGGAAAGGTGTTGGGTCTCTTGGAGCTGGAGTTGCAACTGGTTGTGAGCCACTCAGCATGGGTGTTGGTAACCAAACTCGGGTCCTCTGGAAGAGCAGTAAGAACTCTTCATGGCCGACTCATCTCTGCAGCATTACACTCTCCCAGTTTAGAGAGTATCCAGTATGTGGCCTTCAATTCTCAATCCTCCTGCCTCAGCTTCCTCAGTGCTAGACATGCCACCACATCCAGTGTGAGCCTGACCTTTTGAAAAAACGACTAAGACACCATGCTCCCCTCTCTGCTTGGGTACCTCATTCACAGGCCTTGGGTTTACAGGTTGAGGCTGAACCATGAGTTGTGGGTCCCCGTCCCCCCCACTATATTGAATCATTATTCCGTGGCTTGTCCTCTCAAGATCTCTGGTCGGTTTCAACAGGGTGACTTTGGTGTCCTGGGATCTGACAGGTCAAACTGCCCTAGCAGAGTGGAGATGCAGGCCTGGAGCCATGATACATGAAACAAATCCAGCATTCTAAATTCCATTTGACCCCTCCAACTTACCGAAGGATTTAGAGCCATACCATCCATCCACTGGTCCTCATTTCCTTCTGCAACATTTCCAGTGGAGGACAGTGTGTGGTAGTGTCATTTGTGAGAAGAAAAAGACACAGCTCCACAATGCCATCCTTGGGAGCCTGATGAGTACCCCTAGGTTTTTAGGGACTAAGACTCGGGGTAAACCAGAATTTGTGGCTTCTATGCTAAAAAGAATTTCAATATCAGCCAGTTTATGATTGTCGAGAGCAAGAAGGTAGATATGAGTGAGTAGTTTTAGTATAACAAAAGTTATATTTTATTATTCTAAGTCTATCTCCCCAAGGCTGCTCACCTGTGTGTCGTATCTTAGCTGAATGTCAGATCCAGTCTCTAACACAACTCTCTGATTCGAGGGTCAGGATTCTGGGAAGGACTCTCTAGCCACAGGGCAGATCAAAGTGACATCTCTCCAGATATGCGGAGCAGAGCATTTTTCTTGGTCTCTGTTTATAGACTGTCCAGTGGGCGTCATGGAGTCTAGGACTCTGTCTGGTTGTCTTGAGTGAGTGATGTCACTGGGTTCTGGTTATCAGATGCAGCCGTGGGTCTGGTGGAGTTCCTGACTAAGCTGGTTTTTTTGTTTTGTTTTGTTTTTGTTTTTGTTTTTTGAGCTGAGGCTCGAACTCAGGGCCTGCTAGGCAAGCGCTCTACCACTGAGCTAAATCCCCAACCCGACTAAGATGGTTTTACATGTCTAAAAGCCATTTTTTACTGTGCTCATTACAATGATGAAGTAGAGTTAGAGATAATTTTTTGCTTTTAATTTCTTTTTGAGACAGAATCTCACTATGAACCCTTGGTTGTCCTGGAACTCACCTGTAGACCAAGCTAGCCTTGAACTCAGAGGTCTGCCTGCCTCTGTGTCCCTAGTGGAGTGCTGGGATTGAAGATGTGTGCCACAACACCCAGCTGATTAAAAACAAACAAACAAACAAACAAACAAACAGACAAATAAAAACATTTATTCAGAATGGTGAGCTGACAGAGCAAGACCCCATAACCTGTGGGAGTTGGTTCTCTCTACCGCGTGCATCCCAGAGATTGAATCGAGGGCGTCAGGCTCAGCCATAGGAACCTTACCCACTGTTCTCTTTTGCTGCCCTGAGTTGGAGGTTTTGTTAAAGGTCACTTTAATATAGGTTTAATCTGAAGGGTTAAGAGAAAGAGAGGTGCTTAGAAGAAAACAATACACATCTGTATGTCGGTATGTGCTTCCTAAGAAAGAACCATAGAAAGAAGGATATAAGCCAGGTGGAAATGGACTCCTCAGGGAAGAGTAAGCAATTAATTGTCTCAGCATTAACCAAATCTACCACTTTGGTGGCTGTCATCTCAAAAGATCAATAATAGAAGCTGGAGAAATGACTCGGGATAAAAGCACGCACTGCTTCCTCCAGAGGATCTGAGTTTGGTTCCCAGCATCCATGTTAGGCGGCTCACTCCTGCTCACTCCCAGCATCCATGTTAGGCTGCCTGTTAACTCCTCTTTCAAGGGATCCAGTGCCCTCTTCTGGCCTCTGGGGATGCCTGCAGTCAGTGCACATATACTCACAGAGACACAGACACAGACACACATAGACACACACACAGACACACACACAGACACACACACACACACACACACACACACAATAAAACTTAAATCTCTTTTTTTAGAGGTTACTAAGAAACACACCTCATCTACTGTCTTTTAGTTGTTAAGTGAGATCATAGGTGGATCTGTACATGCCTAGGATGGCATTATAATCTGATAATCCAAAACCAAAAGCTACAAAGGTCCAGACAGGGTTGAATACAGGTCTTTTTCCTAAAAATGGATTTTCTGGTGAGAATCTTAGAAAACTGAAGATTTATAGTTGGGAAGGGAGAAAGGCCTTGTCTTAAGGTTTCTATAGCTGTGAAGAGACACCCCAACTATGACAACTCTTATAAAGGAAAACATTTAATTGGGGCTGGATTGCAGTTTCAGAGGTTTAGTCCATAATAATCATGATGGGAAACATGGTGACATACAGACAGACATGGTGCTGGAGAAGGAGCTGAGAGTCCTACATCTTGATCCACAGGCAGCAGAAGGAAACTGTGTGGCACACGGGGCTTAGCTTGAGCACATGAGACCTCAAAACCTGCCCCCACACTGACACACTTCCTCCAACAAGGCCAAGCCTAACAGTGCCACTCCCTATGGGCCAAGCATTCAAACACGTGGGTCTATGGGGGCCATTCCTATTCTAACCACCACAGACCTTAAGCAGTTGTTAGCTGTGCTGGGGTTCTTTTTAAATATATTGCTGGGCAGTGGTGGCACATGCCTTTGGTCCCAGCACTCGGGAGGCAGAGGCAGAACTCTGTGAGTTCGAGGCCAACCTGGTCTACAGAAAGAGTTCCAGGACAGGCACCAAAGCTACAAAGAGAAACCCTGTCTTGAAAAAAACAAAACAAAACAAAAAATCCTCATTTTTTTGTTAATGTGCGTGCATGTGTCTGTATGAATATACACGATATATATGCGGTGTGCAGGGATTCTTGCTTCTCTCTTGGCAAGAGATTTTTACCAGGTTCTAAGATGAAAGGGCTCCTTCCCCTTCTCACCTCACTAAGATTTCCCCTGCCTCACTATTTCGCCTTAGCAGGGATATGAACTCTGGGGCTTCTCCCATCTGTGACCAAACAGACAGAATAACAGACAGACAGAATAATCTAGGACCAACAGACAGAATAACCTACTCTCAAAAGGCTATCATTAGCAAAAATCAGTGGGGTGCCAATGAGAAGGATTGGCAGGCAAAGGTGCTTGCTGCCCAGCCTAAGGACATGAGTTCGATCCCCTGGACCCAGGTGTAGAAGGAGTGTCTCAATTCCTGCAAATTATCGTCTGACCTCCACAATAGCAGGCGTTGGACTATAATACATACATGTACATACACACATAGAATTAGGTAGATAGACAAATAAATGTGAACTTTCTATTACCCAGAAGAATTAAATTAGCCCAAACAAACCACTGCTAAAACGAATGAGGTTCTATTAGCCATACCTATCATGGACAGTCATTATCTTCATCACAGAGGCTGCAACTACCAGGGCCCCTCAAGATTGGGCCTCGAACTCACAGAGATCCTCCTGGCTCTGCCTCCCTAGTGCTGGGATTAAAGGTGTGCGCAACCACTGCCCAGCGAAACCTGTCTCAGGACCTCTGGAAGAGCAGTCAATGCTCTTAACCACTAAGCCATCTCTCCAGCCCGAAACCTGTCTCAAATAACAACAACAACAAAGCAAAAACAAAAATTAGTCAACAACAGTTAAGTGTGTGCATTCTTTTTCAGTAGGACTATCCCCAAGGAACTCTGGCTAGTTTGGGTGGAGACATTATGTAAGTACAAAATGTATACGAAGTAGTGAAAATTTAGGACAGTAAGAGAGACTTACGGGCTAGGGAGAGGGTTTGGTGAGTTGTTTGCTACGCAGCAACATAAAGATCTGAGTTCGGGTCATCAGCGCGCATTTAAAAGTCAGGCGTGGTAAGCATCTGTAGCCCCAGCGCAGACTCCAGAGGCTCCTAGATCATCTTTCTAACCAATGTGGTGAGCTAAAGGTTCAGTAAAGAGACCCTGTTTCGGGCTGGAAAGATGGCTCTGGACCCTACAGAAGCACGATGCAGGAAGAGAGCATGCGCACCTGGTGAAGTAAGGATGGTTTCTGTGATCCCTAGAGGGGAGGGACTCCGGGGCTCGGGGGAGGGCTGTGTGGGCGGAGGTGGCTGAAGGCGGAGACAGGCGAGCGCTGCGTCTCTACGCACAGCCACACCAAGCTGCCACTGCGGAGCTCCAGCCCAGCACCCTGCGCATCGGCCGGGAGCCCCTCGGCATCCACGCTGCGCCATGGCCAAGGCTACCGATGTCTGGTCCGACCTCGGCTTCGTCTTCTTGCTCGCCTGCCTCCTGCCCTTGGGCCCAGCGAAGGCGGCTGCAGGTAAGCCAGATTCTGCCTGGAGCTGTCCAGTGCTATACAGAACCTGAGCTACCGAGAGGACTCGGTGCGTCCTACCCCTGCTGGGCACCCTTCTGCCCAGAAGTCACCCAGGCACTTGGGGCGTCTCCCTGCTCCCCCTCGATGCCTGCCTCCAGCACTCTGCCCTGGGAAGCACATCCATCCGGATGCTTGGGACTGGTACTCACTAGGGGAGGGACAGGGAGCATGGATGCATGCAGGGAACCCCGGGTGGGTTGGGAGAGGTCATCGCGCCTCAGCCACCCCCAGGGAGAACCGCCCCCTTTGCCTGCATGGGGCAGCGCTTTTGCTTTAAGATGTCGCATTTTTCTAGAGATTTCCACCGTGATTGCGTTCGCTTAGGGGCGGCGCAGGTGCTAGTCTGCAGCCCAGGAGGCCAGTCTGCCATTTCCTCCCTGGAAATGATTTAAAAAGAAAGGGGGGGGGGGGCATCTTGAGCCGACAGATTCTTCCCTAGGCTCACCAGGACCCATCTCTCCGTGATGAAAAGACCAACATCAACCTTCCTACCCCATTTTAGGAGTAACAAACGACACAGATTCGAGAATTGTCAGAGACCGGTGGGTTGTGAGTAGCTGGAGGGGAAAAAAAAAAAAAAAAAAAAAAAAAAATTTCCAACCCCACACAGGGGGGATCCACCCATTAAAAAAGAGGTGGGGGAAGAGAG